CAGCATAGCAGTAGGCTTTGCCCCGCCAGCACAACGCTCAAGTGACGATCACAGTGAGCCGGCGCCGTGTGGTGCCGTGCCGTGTCCCGCCAGCCGCCGCCCCTGTCTGACTGCACCCCCCCGGGCCCGCCTCACCTGCGGCTCGCCCTTGATGTCCACCTCAGTCTCCAGCCCCTCGCCGGGCTGCCGCAGGCCAAACATGATCGGCCGCGAACCACGGGCTGCAGACCGCCTGCCAGCGTTGCGGGAGCTGCATGGCACGGCGTGCCGCGTCGCGGGGCAGCCCGCAGCACACGTGAGCTGCATCCCGCGGTGCAGGAGACAGCAGGGGCGGGGGATTGCTCAGAGAGGGTCGTGGAGGAGGTTTTCGAATGTCAGCGTTGCTCAAAAGTGGCGGCACACGCTGCAAATGCCTTAAAAGCTCGCCGCAGCCGCGTCAGCACTCGAGTGGTCATGGCATGTCGCGCATTTGGGCTCCTCTGACGTCCATCGACCTGTCCATTACATTGCAGCAGACGATCAGGGCTCTCGGAGACCGGTGCGGAACCCGCACATGCCCGGAACCTCATGCCGCGAGTTGCCCACCAGCACAGCGGTCTCAGGATAGGGTAATAGTTGCACAGGATGCCTCGAATAGACATCTGGGATGTGGAGGCCGCGAAAAAGCAGAAGGCCGTGGACTGTGGTTTCCCCCGCGACCTGGAGAAGCACTTTCAGTATGGCAGGGTGCTGGGCAAGGGCGGCTTCGGGCTGGTCAGGTGATCCCATCGGCGCGGGGCGTTGGCGTGGCCGCCTACCCTAGAGCGGCGGCCGGCGGCGGAAGGTGGCAGTGCCCGCCCACGCCACTGCTCGAAGGCGACAAGGCCTGCTCGCCTGCTCCGACGCCGCAGGGTGGTGGTGGAGAGGAGCAGCGGCATCGAGTTTGCCTGCAAGTCAGTCTCCAAGACTCTCGACATCCCAAACCTGTCGGGTGCGCTGAATGCCGGCACGTGCTGCTGCCGCTCTTGCTCTCCTGCCGGCGCTGCTCCCGGTCGGTGCGCTGTGCGCACTGCATGGGGCATCCTGGCTGTCGGTCCAATGGTCTGGTGTGCTGCCGAGTGGCGTACTGTTGCCTGCTGGCTGCTGGCCGCGCACCTTGCCCGGCGTTGCGTGCTGTCACCACCCAAGCATGCGCCTCCCTCCCGCCCTGGCATGCAGCCCAGAAGCAGGCGCAGCACCTGGACAACACCAAGCGGGAAATCAAGATCCTGACCCGCCTGCGCGGCACGCTGAGGTGCATCGGGGGGGGCGCCTGAGGCTGGGGGGTGTCGACTGGCAGCTTGGAGGCACAGGCACGGGGCCGCCGTGTGGGTTGCCACCTTGCTGCCCGTGTGTGGTTGTCCCGCGGCCCTTGATCTCTGCGTGCCGCCCTGCCCTCCGGCCCCTCCCCGCAGCGTGGTGCACTTCAAGGGGGCGTATGAGGACGACCACAGCATTCACATGGTGATGGAGCTGTGCAGGTGCGGGGGCAGTGGTGTGTGTGGTGTGTGTGTGCGCGCGTGTGTCTGTGTGTCTGTCTGTCGGGCAGGGCAGGGCCCAGGCAGGCGCGTAGCTGTGCCACGATTGCTGGCGGCAGGCCTTGGGGCAGCGGGGGCCAGCAGGAGGGAGAGGGTGGACCCTCTCATTCGACGCATTTCCTGGCTGGCTGGCTGGCTGGCTGGCTGGCTGGCTGGCTGGCTGAGTGCAGGGGTGGAGAGCTGGTGCATGAGATCGGGCGGCGGCCCTACACCGAGAAGACGGTGGGTGGGGCAGGGGCTGTGCGCTGGGGCCAGCAAGCAGGGGACTGCCATGCCCAGGATGCTGCCCCTCGCGCCGCTGCCATGCATTGCCGCTGCTGTTGCCGCTGGCCGCCGCCACGCCAGTGCCGAGTGTCAACGCCGCTGCCGCTACCGCCGCCGCAGGTTGCTGGGTACATGCGCAGCGTGCTGCACACGCTGGCCCAGTGCCACAGCCACCGCATCCTGCACAGGGACATCAAGCCGGGTGAGGCGCCGCCGCCGCTCTCGCGCGCCTGCCGCTCGCTGGGTCGGCGCCTGCATGGCATGGCTGGCTGAGGTGGTGGCGACCCTCGCGCTACCGGCGCCCCGTTCCCCCACCTCGCTGCATCTCCCTCCCGCTCCTCTTGCCGCCGTGGCTGCCTGCCTGCCGTGGCCTCTGCAACCGAGTTCCTGCTGCTAAGCTCGTGCTGCCGACGGAGCCGCACGCTGCGCCTGCCTGCCCCCCCACGCACACGCTCCTGGGCAGGCAACTTCATGCTGCTGACGGAGGAGGAGGACTCGCCCCTCAAGGCAATCGACTTTGGCCTGGCCGTCTTCTTCGACCCTGGCCAGCTGCCGCGCACAGACCTGGGCCTGGAGGGCACGCCATGGTGCGCGCCGCCGGCAGGCGGGCCGCCGCCTCCGCCTCCCTGCACTGACCCCGCCGGACCCGCCGGGCAGCCTGTCGCCCCCCCGCCTGGGCCGGCTGCTTGCCGTGCAGCTATGCGTGGGCTGCCCTCATGGCCTCCCTCCCTCCCTCCCTCCCTCCCTCCCCTCCCCTGCCCCGACCCGCAGCCTGGAGATCACGGGAGCCATGGGCGGCATCGCCTTCCAGGGCAGCGCGTGAGTGCGGCGCCGCGCCTCCCTGCCTCTGGCTGCTGCGCCCCCGCCTCCTGGCATGTGCTGCGGGCGCGCCCGCCGCGCAGCGTCCTGCCCCGCCGCCGTGCCGCCTCCCCACGCGCTTTCGCCGCCGCGTTTTGCGGCTGCGTTGCTGAGCGGTGCGCGCCTGCTCCCGCTCCTGCTCCCGCTCCCCTGCCTCCCTGCCTCCCCTGCAGCTCTTTCAACATGGTGTCTGAAACTTCCACCACCTCCCAGACCGTTACCACCAACTCGGGCGCCTCGGTGCACTTGGGAGGCTACGCGCTGCGCGGAGGTGCGCCAGCCAGCGCGCCAGCCAGCGCGCCGCCGCGCGGCACCGCCACTAAAAAGAATCAGTACGCCCCGCCGCCCCGGGGCCTGAGCCCGCCAGCCCGCCCGCCCGCCCCGACGCGCCGCGCCCTGCTGCGCCGCTGCGGCGCAGGCCCCGCCGCCCTGGCGCTGGAGCCTGGCTTTGTGCTGAACGTGGCGCCGCTGATGGAGGCCGCCGTGACATCGACGTATGATGCGGTGAGGTGGCACGGCGGGCACAGCGCGCGCAGCAGCACTGTATCATCACTGGGTTGGCTGGGCTAGGCTTGG